GGCGCAGCTGCAGTGCGCGGCCGGGAGGCGGGCGGGGATGCGCGGCGCGGGTCGCTGCCCTTCTTCTTCCTTATTATTTGTTTTAAACACGCTGCGGCCGCGATTCTTCCGGTGAACCGGCGCTGTCTGAAGGAGTTGAGCTTTCCCAGTGACAGATTAAATACCGACGGGGGTGTTTGCTTGGCGGTTTCTGTTTTGCGGCTGCACAGATCCCTTGCTGATGTCTGAATCTTGCCCCTAGACCTCTCTGCCGTAGAGAAAGTTTTACCTTCTCTGTGTAGTAAACGGCATTTTTGGCCGTGTATTATGCTTAGCACCCTTCCCAGATGCCGAAGCTTTGCCTGTGTGTGTGTGTGGTGGACCCCATGAGAAAGTTCCCTAAAATACCTGAAAAACACCCCTTCCGAAGGAAACGGGTAAAATCACTATTAAGCAACAGAACAGAGAACTGCACGTTGTTTTCTTTGCTAATGCGAAAGAGTAAATTGCTGTGGCTGCTGATTCTGCTGCAGGCTCCATACTTGTTATTTTTAAGGTGTGCTTTTGGAAAACTGCGTCTCCGTCTTACAAGAAGCAGGAGGGGTGTATGATGATTATAACCTTTCAGAAAGGCAAGCTGGAAATAAAAATTTTCCATGAGCAGGAAAATTTTTCTCTCTGAAAAGTCTATAATCAAACCCTGAAATTCATGCTCAGACATGTTATTTATGCTTCCGGTAATTTTGATGGCTTGCTCGTCTAGCACAGCAGTAAAAGATGGTATCAGTTATTTTTCAGTGGTGCTCTCAAGGGGTTTTCTTGGGGGAGGGATGGGGGGCTGCTCTCCCTGGGGGCTTGAGGAGGCGGCGGGGGTGAGGTTGGTGGTTTGAGAGCACTCAGAGCAGTTCTGGCTGACTGGGTCTGTGGGGAAATGCTGTGGAGTGTCCCATGTGAGGCACTGGCAAGACAACACGGCTGGAAGGCAAGCTGTTCTGGTTGTGTTGTAGCTGTTGCTGTAAAAATGAAAATAGGTAACCTTTGTTATCTTTCCTTTGCAACCCTTAATGAAGCAAAAGACAAAACCTTCAAAGACTGCTTTTAGGGAAAACCATAAAGGTATTGTAAAAGTTAAAAAAAAAAATTAAAAAAAATAAAAATATGGACCACAAGCTTTTAAGAGAATCCTATTGGCTTTTTGGTGTTTTCTTTTTAGGCAGGTAGGCTGATCCAACAAATGGTTAAATAACTATGTTATCAATGAAGATCTAAAAAGATCAAATCAGTGTTCTAAGAAAGATGCCAACTTTTAAATTACCTTAAATGTGAAATTTTGAAAAAACTGAGCAAATGGTCAAACCACAGTCTGGATTGTTACACGGGCAGTTTATGCATTTTGCAGCTCACAGTGGTAAGCAGGCATCTTCCTGGTGGCTGAAGTGTTTTGGCGTATCGCATCTTAAAAAAAGAAAACCAGCAAAAAAACCCTCAGAAATGGCATTTGGCACACGTCTCGCTAAATCCAAATGCCTGTGGTTAAAGATTACCCAAATATGTAGAAAGTAATTTTTGTTTGTCTGACTCAATAAATATGGCTTTCACTGGTTTCCATCTCTGGTAATTTTTTTCAGACTGACTTCCCCTTTCAGCAGCTGCCCTGCTCATTATTGGGTTTTGATCACATCTAATTGCAGGTGACATTCAAGACTGAGGTTTAATGTTTTTCATCCTTACCCTTCTGTAAAAATGCTGGTTAATCTTATCAGTCAGTTTTACTGCAGTTTTATAAGTGTTTTCTGTGGAGAACTTCAAAATAAAAGGCTAGACAAAAGAAAAAGTAAATTTGAATTATTTTTTTTAAGGCCCTAAAATAATATTTGGTTTATAATGCAGACAGGCTACCTAAAATGTATCAATTTCCATGAGAGACTTAAGAATAAACCTAAACACAATGAATGAAGGGGTTTGGTTTAGGTTCTTTCCTAGGAGAACAGAGAGAACAGTTTACTAAATAAACCAACACGGAGTTCTGTACACTTTTTCACATTTGAAATTTGGAAATTAAAAGAACGTCATTCCAGTAGGTTTTGGACTCTAAAAGAGCAGCATGTTATTAAATATAAAACACTTACCAAATGTGTAAAACACATTATCAAATGTTGTTGAAGCTAGAAATTTAAATGTTGCTTTAAATCATCTTGTGAGCATCAACTTTGTTGAAATTTTATATGAAAGCAAAAGGTAAAAATGGATTAATTTTACAGAAGTACGCGTAACTAAATCGTGTTGTTACTCTCTTCCTTCACCTTGCAGATGAAGAGAAAGTTGGACCATGGCTCCGAGGTCCGTTCTTTCTCTCTGGGAAAGAAACCCTGCAAAGTCTCAGAATACACAAGGTAATTAAATGCAATAACAGATCACTGGACCCTGATTCTTGTGTATAGCCCATCTTTCCAATTGCTAAGCCTGATTCATGGCTCTTTTTAATGTCAAAGCACTATAAAGCGAAGAAGGAGTGGTATCAGCATTCGTATATAGCTCAGCTAATTTAAATTATGTGAACTGGAGATGAGTTTTAATGAAGTAGCCAGACTTGCATTTCTTCCGTTGAGGTTTGTCTTTCATTCTAAATATAGCACGCCCATTTACTTAGAGAATTTTTGAGGGCTGAAGCATTACTGGAAATAAAATCAATCAGATTTTTAAAAAGGGACATAATGATAAACCCTAAGACTATTACAAACTGTGATCAAATGTATCACTTTGCTATGGTAACAGGAATGAGAGAATGGAAATTTATGTAGGCAGGGCAGACCATCTGATCTTAACAGGAACACATACATCCTTGTTATCCATAATATGAAATTATTGCAGGTTGTAGTCTCCTTCCTTACGACTCCTAAACAGTATCAGGTCGCACAGATAACTGCTGCTGTTCCACTTTTATGCTTTCTGGGGTAAAGCATGCTGAACATGAGAAGCAGTGGTAGAGTAGGGCCCTGCACCCACTCCTTGCAGCTGCAGTTCTTACTGCAGAGTTGCAGTAAGAGTTGTGCTCTGGTGCCACGCTGCTTCCCATCCTGTCTGAATTTACACCATTTTACATTTTTTCCCCCTAACAAGAAGCATCAGCCCTCCCACAAGCATTGCGCTTGCCTCCCAAAACTGGCTGGGAATGTTACTTCTCCTGAATATGCTGTAGTAGTGTTGAGTCACTGATCGATCTTTCAGAAGGAACTTAAATTTTATTTATCTTCCAATAAGGGGTTTGTCAGGTGATGACTGAACAGTTAGTATAAGGAAACAGGCTCCCGGGTTTCTTTTCAGATGTGTAAATGCTGCAGCAGAGAAAAAGAGGTGATGTCTTGCTGCTGAGAAGCGTGTGTTTCGGTCTCCATGTTCCCCTTGAGTTGGTAGCTTCTCTGTGTTGCTGAGTCAGTCTAATGGAAGAGCATTCCTGTTGGCCTCCAGTTCTTCAGGTGTCACACTGTTCTCTGTCCTCCCCTAAAAGTAAACAGTTCAGCATCAAAACAGGTGCACTTTTTGTCAAGTGTATGTTTCAGATTCAGAGGAACTGCTGAACTTGTTCAGCTTCCACAGAAACCTGTCTGGCTGTTTCAGGGGAATGAAGCATATAGGGAAAATAAAGCACGAACAAAAATCTTGTGGTTTAATCTCAGGTCAAAAGAAAGAGGCTTTTAGATCCTGTTTTGGATAACTGTTTTTGATCAAGAACCAGTTTACAACAGAAGAAATTAAAGTGTAACTGTTCTACTGGGGCAAGCTCAAAGCTATGTATTGCTTACATCCAGTATAAGCCAATTTTAAGAGCCTTATTTTGGATCTAAAATGATAGGCCTTCTGCTGGATCACTATACAAGTGATGAGAATGAGTAAGCTGTAAAACCAAGTTTTATTTTAAAAATACTTTCAGTTGTCATTGCTTGGATTTTGGGTCATTTTTGGTGTAAAAGAATCCTTAGATACCATCCAATTCACTCTATTTTAAATGGATCTTATTTAATTTAAAAATATTTAGACCAATTATGCAGTTCGCGTGTCACTTGTTTTCATTTTCCCTATGATCAAACACTCTTTAAAATTGACAGGCCTAATGAACTTTTTTCGCATATAACAGGTAGAACCAGCAAACAAATGTCGTTAAGAGGATCCTTCATCTGTGAAGTAGTATTTTTATATCAGCTTCTGTTTCTGTTATTATTCGTAAAATCAACAGTTATAAATAAGCCTATTCAAACAAATCTTTACTTTTCTGTACCAGTTTGCATAAATGTTAGCACATGCTGTGATTGTCCTTCAGAATAAGGAAAAGTAGGGTGAAATATTTGTAGGTTATGATGGGATGAATATTAAAATGAACCTGCCATGCATCATTTGAAGCTGTTCTGTAGCCACTGAAAAGTCAGTAAAACCCTGAAGCTCATACCTACTAAAAAGCTGGATTTATCATACACAAAAGGAAAGGTTTTTTTGGAGTCCCACACTGTATTTAAAATTATCATGCTTGTGCAAACACCACTGGAGTTCCAAATTTCCTGCTAGGGAGTACAACTTTGATATTCTGTGAACGAAGTACTTTACATTATGTTTTTTAAAAAAAAAAGGAAAACCCAGTCAGCTCTATTTCTTTGGACTCCTACAATAACAGCTTAATCCCAGCTCTTTGAAAAGCTCCATCCCATATGAATGAGCTGGGTTTTAACATGTCAGAGTGAAAAATCAAACTGTAATTCAGGGAGCACCTTTGGCTCCTTTTCCCTCTTCACCTCGCACCCTGCCACCCCTTTAATTCCTGTGTCACACCATTAGCACACAAACTTTAAAATACCATGTAGAGTATTTCAAAGCACAATTCCAAACCATTAAGCCATTAGAACTGCTTGATATTAATAGTTCTTTGTCAACAAAATATATTAAGAGCTAAAAATAGATTATATTTTTTTCTGCTTGCAATGAAAGCAGCACTAGCATGTTTCACATCCAGGTGAGACTCTGAACTCTGACGTCCTTCATCACCAGTCAGAAGGCACAAATGCAGCCAAGTAGGAAAGCAAATACACTGGCAAGGAAAGGAATATATAAACCTGCATCTTTATAGACAACCTGCTGGCCAGTTACTGAAGTGGTCATTTTTCAGCCTTGAAAGGTGGTTGCCATTTTCCCCCTACCTGGAGGATTAGTACTGCAGTACAGAAACAGGTGGATTTATAAAAATATGGGAACTGACCTCTTGAGTGACCAGTAGAACAGTTTTTCATTATGCTACTTTTGCATGAAGAGTTTAAGTCGTAGTTGCAATTTCTGTACTAGATTTTTTTTTCTGCAGTAGACCTCTACGTTTTCCTTACATATGACTAGCACTTTTTATTTGTGTTGTAGTACCACAGGGCTGGTGCCATGCTCTGCCACACCTACTACTTTTGGGGACCTGAGGGCAGCCAATGGCCAGGGACAGCAACGTCGCCGTATTACATCTGTGCAGCCACCAACGGGCCTTCAGGAATGGCTGAAAATGTTTCAGGTAAGTGCTTAGAAAAACAAACATCTGAAGCAGAGGTAGAGACAGTCCTCCTCATACAACCCAGAATGTCTCTGTCATTGATCTTGTGTACTGTTGCATTCACTTTAAGGAACTGTGGTTCCCTATTTTAGCTAGTTACTGTAGAGATTCACAAAAAAACACTGCTTTCTCTGGTTTCTTAGTAAAATAACCCTTGCTGTTTAATGCTTTCACATTCTCTGCAAAGTCTGTCCAATGTGTACTGGCTGTGTCTGTGGCCTCAGGCTAACTTGAAACATTTTCACTTGGAGACTAGTAAGCTTTACTGCATGGTTTGCTTCAGTGCAGGTATAGCACTACATTTGTTGTCTAAGAATAGAAAGAAAAGTTTAGCAAAAACAGATTAAAAGGAAACTCAATGTGTATTTTTACTGATCTTTATATACTGAACATGGTGTCAGCCAGTACCTGCATACACAGTTGAATGGAGAAGGGAAGGAGGTTTCTGTGTATTTCCAACAGCCTTCAGCAATGCCTTAAAATTCATCTGACAGAAGAAAAGGTGTGGTATGCACCACTTGCACAGCTCAGAGCTGAAATCTGCAGGGACACCAGTCTGGTAGCACCCAAGCCAATTTTGTGTGCAGTAATACAGACACCGTTTGGGGGAAGCCTCTGTTCCTGTACCATGGAGATCTCTTTATTATATGGTTTTGCTCTGTATTTTTAAGAAGCAGGGATGAGTCCTAGGCAGTGATTTGAAAAATGGAAATATTATGTCTTCAGATCTTGATTAATAAACTGTTACTTCTAAAAACCTTTTCAAAAGGAGTAAGTAACAGAGGCATTGTTTCAGCTACAGTATCAGGCAGATAGAAGAGCAATATTGTAGATACAGTAGTGATCATACAATTTTGCAGGCAGAAGTGTGCTTTTGGCTTGATTCATGCTGCCACATAATACCATTGATCTCAATCACTGTCAGTTCTGAACATTAAAATAATAATGCAGAACTCCTTCCCTCTTTATTTTTACACATTTATAATCTGCTTGCAACAGTGGAAGTTCAGAATTAAGATATTCTTGTACATATAATTCAGTTTCTTAAAAATATTCACATTTAATTATTGTGGTGTATCTTTTTTGAGACTGTTCAAAGAAATACATCTTTTTAACCCCTAATAATTATATTGGAATGGTACTTGGTGTACATGATAACCTAATTCTACATTGTATTTTAACATTTTGTAATGTTAAAGCCTTTGTAGTGACAAAAGCTATTTTGTTATCTACAATGTACAACGTGTATTTTCTCACAGTAGTTTGCTAGTTATCAGTAGTTGCATATGTAAAAAAAAATACTATGAAAGGTTAAGATACTTGAGAGAGTGGTGCAAACATGCTTGAGAGCAGAAGCAATGTTCTCTCAGCTGTTTGGTCAGGGTAAGGAGAGTAATTCTGAAGCCCGTGGAAATTTTGCCTATAGTTAAGGTGTTATTAGTTCAGGGTCCCAAATTCAAGGTTAGTAATGTAGAAAACAGGATTTAATAAGTATAGAGTTAGATACTTCTGCCTTTCCAAAATACATTTCCTAAATGCTGATCTGTAGGAGAGAGAGGCTTCTCTGTCATAACTGGAGATCATCAAGAAGCACTTACCGATCACTTCTGTCACTGGTAGTTTTTATTGTGTTCACAAAAGAGAGGGTCCCTTATTTTAGAACCAAAAGCTTTCAAAGTCACATAGCTGCCTGTCAATGTGACACCTCCTTGGCTAATGCCAAGCTACCTCATTTTCTGTGTGCTTATTTTTCGTGTGTGTTTTACAAAAGGGGTAAGTCTTAGACAAACGATAAAAGCACGTTCTTACAGTAAGGGAAGCTAGCTCTGCCCAAGGGGCAGGATTACATGGCACATGTAGCATCATTCTTGCAATACAAAGTACAGAAAGAGAAATGGAGAGGGTTTTCCTTTATGCACTTTATGCCCATTAAGCCTGCTTAATAGCACTATCTTATTTTATATGAAAATACATTTCCAATTAATTTTAAAGCTAAATTTCCAGAGGCATGATAGCTGGACATATGTATTAAGGTAGCACTCTCCCTTGTCATAGAAGTTGGCAGTAACGAGTGATCTGCAGTTATTTTGAGGTCCCTCATCTGTACATTGGCCTTCACTTGTTCTGCTCGGTTACCTTTTCCAATTAAAATGCAAGAGCACTCCTCAGATCTTAAGAAAACTTAAGATAGCCTTCAGGGGTTCTTGAGAGTTTATTTTGTGTATGTTTCTTCTGCTGTTATGTTTTAGTAGCTGATTTAAGCCTTTTGTTTGAAAGTGACAAAAATCTAATGCAGAAAGGGGAAA